TTCTCTTAAAGTGTTGTATTCCATGTAGCTCCACTCATAAGAATATGTTATTTTCTTCCCATCTTAAAGTGTTATGTAAATTCTAGCAATTCCCGTTACCAGAATTGGTTGTTTATGGTCATTATTGATTAACTTTACCATCAAGTGCTCATGGTGGCTACCACCAACATTGGAGGATGCCACGTACGACTAACAATTTGTGTCTAGCGTGCAGGGAAGAACATACGTGGGGCTGCTTTCTGTTAGCCATGTGGGGATTTGTTTTCTAAGGTCAACACATGTATCTCTTTTGTGAATATATAGATCACTAAGAACAACTATGTAAACACGGGACTACTTTATTGCAATCACTACAACCTTTTCGTTTCTAAAGATTCTTACTTCCCTCGAAAATATTTTTCCTCCAAACCCAAAAAACACATCAAAAGAAATGTAAAGAAAAGTAAACCCCAAAACAACAAGAATAGAAACAAGTCCTGCCTCTCCTTCTAAGCCCCTTGCTCTTTCTCAAAATGTAGCTTCCTCTCCCTCTTGATGTCGTAGCCATCGGTGACGGTAGAGTGGACTGACTTCCAAATCTTCATACTAGTACACTTCATATTTCTCTAGCACGAATACCTCATCTCCTAGTTGAATTTTGTCTCCATTTCACTCTCCCTTCTTCCCAACGAAATGTTGACACCCTACTACATTAGCTCTTATCATCAAGTAGTAAGACATCTACAATACTTGCAAAATGACATTGTACTTGAAATGAAATCTTGTTAATTGCCAACAAGAGATAATATAATGAGGCATCAACATAATTGGATTCATAACATGGTTGCTAAACTTGGCCACTATTTGTTTTGGACTAAAATCAAATTATGATATGAAGTTAAAGTTAACAATTAATTTAATTATACATTTCATGAGATCCACAATTTTTCAATCACATATATTATTAATTTTTATTAAAATCTACTTTTATCTGCACCAATTATGGGCTAATAAAATTTAGTATTAAATAAATTTACTTAAAGGTAAAAGTTACTTTTAAACTAATTTTTTTTTCCCTGAAAGCTAGTAGTAAGATATAAGATTTACTTTAGCAAAAAGAAAAATGTAATTTTTCTTATTAGATGTGTGTTTGATCCACATTATTTTGGAAGAACGTATTTTGGAATAGTAGATTGATGAAAAATTTGTGGTTGAAAAAAGAAGGAAAAGTTATTGATGTGATGGAAAATATTATTTTATTGAAGAATATGTGGTTGAAAATAAGTAGAATAATGAGAATGAAAATTTTAATGTGTACCAAACAGGGGCCGAAAAAAAAGGCTATTTAGCCAAACATGTTCTAAAAGAAAAGAGGGGAACCGGTGTGTATGTGTGTCAGTGTGTGTGTTGGCGGTGAAACGCGATGGAGGAAAACGAGACAGCAGGGGAAGAAGAAAGGGGACAAGAAATTTGGAGCTGGGGCGCTGGTACAGAAGGACAACTAGGATCAGGAAGGCTTCAAGATGAGCACAGCCCTCAACTCCTACACTCTCTCTCCTCTTTTGGCCCAATCTCTTCCCTTTCCTGCGGCGGCGCCCATGTCATTGCACTCATCCCTGGTACTACTACTATTTTATGTGTTTGTTGTGTGTGCGAACGATTTGCTTTATGTCTGATGTTTTCTTGTCTGATATTAGAAAGAGTCACCCTGACCCACAAATCAAGATCAATCAAATATCAAACATTCAAGTTTAGAAGTAATATGTCTTCTGAAATTATGCCTCACTTCAACATTAAAAAGTTCGAGATTTTTAAGATAAAATTTAAGATTTAAGAAGTGCAGGATACAACTGTCTGCGTTATCAATATAATTGGTTAGTATTAGGCTTTAAATGTCTCTTTTTTTTAGAGCTTCATGTATTGTTTATGTATACAGCTTGTATGTAATGTACAATAATGGAATATA